TATATAAATCTAGATACTCTCTCCTATAATTAGTACTCCTATAATACTTCTATAATACCCCTATTCTATATTCTATATTCTATATTCTACTCTATAAACCCTTCCTTAACTTATTTTATTTATTCTACTCGCATATACTAATCCAATCCCACTATCTAATCCTAATCCCACTCCTAATCCCAATCCTAATTACTCACTACTCACTCAAAAGCTAGGAATAAATTATTATTCTCTTAGACTCTATTAGTACTTAGCCTACTTTCAGGTTTTATTATTTTCATTTCCTAACAAATATAATTTATACCCAGTCTATTTTCTCTTTCTAGATCACTCTTACTAAATATTCTTGTTTTCTTTTCTATATTATACTACTATACTAATCACTTTCAAATTCCTTTAAGTTATAAGACTACAAAAAGTCAATAAATAGATAATATTCTTTTATTTGTTTGTTTATTTATCTATCTATTTGTCCATTCTATTATTTAATAGTATTATTATTATTATTATTATTATTATTATTATTATTATTGGTATTTTCATCATTTTCATCAATATAAAACGACATATGAAGCATATCAACAATACATCAATCAACAACCAACATATCAACCAAACCAAATAAAAGAAAATAAAATACAACTAAATCGAATCACCAGAGAGAATGTCAAATTCATTATCTTTAACAAACCCCACCACCACCTTTCGACTCAACTGCTCAACTAGAACTAAAAACCAAGCTAGAAAACGAAGGAAGAAAAGAAAAGAAAAGAAAAAAAGCTACCCATCCATCAATCATCAAAGACGCAAACACCGTGACCTCGATAGCGAAATTTTTTTTTACTTCATCCATAAATCCATTGAATTGACCAAAGGAATGTATCATCAAATAATCTCATCCCCCGCAAACCAACGAACAATAACCAATAACCAGCAAGCAAGAAGCGAAGACGCCCGCCATTCATCCATTATGCGCATTCCATCATCACATATCAATCATACCCAACTCAAAAAGAAAATCCTTCATCCCACCATGAAATAATCATATCCATACATCCATCCCTTACTACTTAAATCCCCACAATACCCCTGACCAACATTTTAGCCGCATCGGCGTTTCCTCCTAGATTACTTTGATCCTCTGCATTTGGATAAAAAAAAGCCGCCACCGCAATAATAACATACGCCGCGCACAGAAGAGCGCCCTCGAGGTAATTCGATCGACCATCTAGAACCAAGAAATTGACAATGAAGGCCGAGACGAAGAGGCAGACGGTTTCGAACAGTGTGAAGTACAATGTCATTTCTTTGGACATGCACCAACCGAGAAGGACGATGAAGGGAGTGACGAATAGAGCTATTTGGTGCGGATTAGTTGAGATCTATTGGAAGATGAGAGGATTGGGATTGGGATTTGGATACATACCAATCTGGATGGAGGAACCAACCGCAACACCGATTGCCAGATCCATTTTATTCTTACTAGCGACCGTAACAGCTGTAACGTGCTCGGCAGCATTACCAACAATAGGTAAAATGATAAGACCAATAAAAGCCTCACTCAAACCAGAGTTACTAGCTACGACGGCATTGATACTATCAACCATGAATTCGGCACAGACTGCGACCAGAGCAGTGGAGGTAAGAAGTAAAACGACGGCGGTAGTACGAGAGATATTTTCATCCTCATCCTTCATAGGAACCTTATTGGCTGCAACAGCAGAACTATTGATACGAATAGGCGCAAGATTTGACGGGGTACTAGCTGGGTGTGACATAGTTTGGTTGAGACGATCTGGCAAAGAGTTTGTGCGACGAATTCCCATACGAACGCGAGGAATGTTGCCAGGTGGTGGAGTACCGGTAGGTGCAGGGTTGGTAAAGACGTTTTGAGAAAAGGTTTTCGGAATCTGAGGTCGAATGCCAGAAGTAATTCCGCGAAGTGTAAATGGTCGTTTTTGAGTGGCATCTTGCTGAGCTTCGGAGCTTTCCATCATAGCAAAATCCACACGACGTGGATCCGAATCACTTTGTGCCACTTCTACGGTTTTCTCATTATTGACATCGGGAACAACACCTGCATTGATGGGTTGTTGATGTCTGAGAGCTCTCTTACGAGCCTTCTTTTCCTTTTTCTGTAGTTTGCGTTCTCTCTTCCGTTCCTTTTTGGTCATGACATAATTTGTGAATGAACCATTGCGACTTCTTCTGGGACGCTCGTCGTCACCATCCTCAGCAAAGTCAATAGTACCTGTACGATGATCATCGCCAGTGGAGCCACTACCTTCAGCTGTATAGTTAATGCTGCTATTACCAAAAGATGGTGTACGAAGAGCCTCAACGTCGACGGTATCTTTCGATGCCGAGCTTGACTTCCGACGTCTACCACCTCTGATGAGTCTCTTGACACGTTTTGCAGTGGTGTTGGAACCGCTGGAGCTATCAGAATCAGAGCTTGACGAGGATGAATCATCTGATGATGAATCCATCCAAGCGGCAACAGGTCCAGGAGCCGATTCTTCATCAATGATATGTTGAGGAGTACTTTCATACATGTACGCGTGTGACTTCAACTGAAACAATAGGTACATGAAGTAGACCAAAAGAAGAACCTGGTAGATATTAATACATTGGCCTTCTCACAAACATGACACCTGGGGACCTACAACGCTGGTGCCGCGACTAACTTGTAAGACTCTGGTGGTGGCCTTGTCTCCGGCAGTCTCAGTGTTGAAGGATGCATGGAAAGCAGTCTGCATACGTCAATTTCATAGTTCCCTCCAATTAGAGGATTATACATACCGGAAGCAATAAACTCATGACGCTCAAACTTAAAAGACAAGCACTCATCTGGGTAACAGTGCTATTATAGATCTATGATTGTCAGTGCGAACGCAAAAACAGGTAGGGAAGTGTTGATTACCTGTTCACGGAAGCGCAGTCCACCAACCAAGAAACACATTCCTAGAATCAAGAGTAGATTTGCAAGAATCGAGCCGAGCAAAGAGGCTTGGACGATACGGATTTCATTCTGTTGAACGTCAGAATGATTCAAAATTGGATGAGGAGGATGTACTGACTTTTTGCAATGCAATGCTATAGGGTTGAAGATGAACAGGTGAGCATATGTTTTCGAAAAATGTTTCACACGGGACTTGCATGATGAAGAGACAAAAGAAAATGGAAAGGGTATAATGATATGGGACGCGATTGATATGATAATGCCTTTAAGAGGGCTTCTCGCACTTTCTTGTCTTGATCTCTTACGAGGTAGACATACATACTATGCAAATTGTTAGCTTAACTGTGAATGAAAGGGAAACATGAGGGAACTTACAAAATGATAAGCTCAACAGCATTACCAAAAGTAACATTCATCAAAGCACCAATAGTATCACCCATTCTCTTGGCCACACTTTCCGTAGCATGACTAAGTAAACCTGCCAAAGGTATAATGGCAATTGCATTCATCGCGAAGATGATACCTGGACTGAGACCTACCGCAAAGGCAGCAATACCAACCGGTACAAATACCAATAAAATATTGATAATACTTGAAAGTATAATATGTTTACCGGTAAGCCAAAATCGAATGGCAACGTGCTTTTTCAGAGGTTTCTCGGTTTCGGTAGGTTCTATGATATTCCCCTCTCCATCAACTTGCGGTGGTGGAGCTGGTGACGGATGAACGTTGGATGTATTATCTGCCACATTATGGGATGTGGTATGCGAACGTTGGTTCTTGCGGCCATTGCGATTTGAGTCGTTTGTTGGGATCTTGGTTGTATCATTTCGAACCGAGGTAGCAGTGTTGTTATTCTGCGTAAGGGTAGAGGAATTGCTCAAGGGGAGAGTTGGTCCTCTCGAATTTGTCGAATTCGTATGGTTGCCATGCGCCTTGGATTTGTCCCAAAAGCTCACACGATCTATAAATGACGGCGAATTAGAGGAAGTTTCCTTCATCGATGTAGAATCGGATGAATAAGTTTTTGAGATGAGGGTATCGTCGAAGAGAAGAGAAACGATTCGCTATCAAATTAAAAATCAAGGTTGAGGGTATCTTAATAAAAAGGGAGAAAGAAGAGGATGAAAGTGTCGAAGATGTTGTGTTTGATATCAAGATGGGTGGTCCGTTTGTTGAAAGGGAACACTGGAAAGTTTTGGGAGGGATAACGGTGAGAAGGCAACCAACCAACCCCCCGCCCCCCCCCCACAGATAAGGTAGATAGGGCGAGTAATTACAAGGATTACCAAGGTCTGGTGTCCGCCAAGGCTGAACTACTTCATTTGCCAAGGAGTGGAGAAGAATCCTATTCTAGAACAGAACAAATGAAATAATATAATTGGATTTTATTTTTGGAATTCCTATTTAATGATTGGATGGGAATATGTGTTTTGTATGATTCGTGAATTATGGGAATAAATTGGTGTGGCGTAGTAACCATTATATATGATATGTTGATATGTTGCCTGCCTCATCATAGAAGAACTTGTATTATCTATCCTTGATATAAGATATCAGTACCAGTTACAAATACTGATGGTATCTGTATCACTCGATCAATTACCCAAATAAGAAATAAGTATTCCCTTCGTTACTCAACGTATTCTACCAATCATCCAAGCATGTATATACCGGTATATATCCTCTTATGTTATCTGTAGATCGACAACTGTTTAAATAGTGTAACCGCCTCTCTTTCCCCCCCCCCATACTTTGTTGAGGTCTGATTTGATCATATACTTATACTTCCTCGGATGAAAGAAACAGAAGTGTAAAACTTGAAAAAGTAATGACTCGTTGAGAGGTGTGTGTATATTGGATTAAAACTTGATGATTTGTATACAACTTCGTAATAGATATCAAAACGCAATGATAGGTGTGAGTGGAATAAGAAATCACATGAAAGAGAAGAAGAATAAGAGAAAAGAAATGGTAAATACATACTCTTCCTATGCTCCTTATTCATTTTGTGATCGGTCTCCTTCCCGACAACTACTCAAGTACTTTGATACTGCAGTCAACTCTCAACCAGCCAGTATAAGTACAAGCGGTCGATCCGTAAAATATGGGTTGGAGTAACTACCTGACCTAGGTATCTGCCGATGTTTAAGGAATACAAGGGAGTGGAAACAATGAGGGGATGAATTTGATATCTGAAAAGAGAATATAAACGGCAATTGATGAGATGTTTTTTTTTATTAAGTCTGTTGGATTTTGTAGTGATAGGAGAACAACACCTAGGTAATTGAATAAGTGAATTTCTTCTCTATCAAGGTACTCATCTAGCATTCAATATCAAACTAAACTAAACCAACCATCACATCAGACACTTCTCTCACCTCATCAGACTTATCTCCGTACAGGAAGGCGCGAATAAGATTCGTCCCATCCTGTACCTACCTACCTACCTACCTACCTACCTACTCGATTTGATTGTTGAAGCTATTCACTGTTTGATACATATCTACCTAGTAGGTAGCTAGGTCTTCCCTTCAAAACCCCACGCCAAGTCATGTCAAAATCGGACGTTTCTCAACACAGCATAAACATCCGTATTACTATCATTGCCACGGAGTAACTATTCCATTACTGACTTATAGATTTGGAATGCTCGAAATACCAATTACAGTAAGTAGCTCAAAGCTCAACTTAACCAATTCTAAGCAATACTATCCTACATCCTATCCTACATCCGCCAACAATACAATCCCCATCCACCCCTCCAATTCCTTTCCCTTCCACATCCCTCCAATAATAGTATACCCTAGTAATACAAACCCCCATCCATTATCCATTACAAAAAAGCAGCAACCCCAAACCACCAAAGATCAGCACACGCATACAAACTTATCCGAAGCAAAAGCAAACAAACCAACACGCCAATGCGTGGATTCACCACCCCATCCATAGCTTTCCGCCACAATTATTGCACAGCCACATTTAGCTTCATCATCCTATCCTATTATTTAGCAAGGCTGAGTATCTAGTTATCTAGGTACCCACATAATCATTATTACCTCGGGAGTCGGGTCTCTTTTTATATTGTGGCTGGTATCATTATTCCTTCACCATAAATTCTATCATCATGATTCAGAAATCAGGAGTAATGGTTAAAAAGATCTAAGATATAAATTACATGACGCGTTTCCTTTCCTAACCTGATTATTTTTCTTATTCTATTCAGTGTTAAGGTTGCTAGTCAAGTCAAGTACTTGTAACAATGCAAGCATACAAAACCCCTATCATCCGAGAGTTCGGTCCCGGGATCCTGTAAGTAAAGCTTATCCGAATCCAGGCCAGAGTAGTGTGGACATGTAATATATAATATACCGATTCGTGAGTTTTCCTAACTCCGTAAAGATGGAAGATAGAAGATGGACAGTGCTACTATGATAATGAATGAAAGGGTTTCTAATTATTATAATTTATACAAGTACGATATCTCTATCCTAAATTGTTAATATACCGAGGAAGGGAGGATATGCTGAATTTCTGAAAGGATATTTATTGATTGAGATGAATTATAGGTAATCATTGTCCGGGGAATCGAGGGGACTTCTATTGGAAGTTCGAGTACATGTACAATAGATAACACACTACAGTACCAAAAAGTTATATATTTAGCTAAAAGTAAACTCGAATAATATAACTCGAGTACATTGAAATGAAAGATCAGAGAGAGAATTCCAAATAGTATAGTTAATTCTATCGAGAGCTCGAAGTTGATAGATGGTACAGCGTTATATTTAGCATTATTATATACTTGATTTACTAACGTGGTTTATCAGTACGTGGATCATATCAGTATGTGGATCACTTTTACCTCAATTTACAACTTTCAATTTCAACACGCGATTTATCAACAATCTATAATGCAATCGAACAATAAAGAAGATCGAATACTTTTAGCTATTGAAGCTATTCAAAAAGACAAAAAATTAAGCTATCGAAAAGCTTCCAAGCTATACAATATACCATATACAACGCTTATCCACAAAATAAACAGTTCTATCTCTTGTACAGAATATCGATCAAAAAATCATAATATTATAAAAATGAAAGAGGAAGTGCTTATTCAATATATTATTGATATAGATAATTGAGGGTTTGTATCTAAATTAAGTAATATGGAAGATATAACGAATTATATTCTTGAATCGAAAGATACGAAAAAGGTTGGAAAACTCTGGGCTTATCGATTCGTAAAGTATTATATAGAATTAAAGATGCATTTTAATTGTGTTTATAATTTTCAAAAAGCTCTTTGTAAAGATCCCAAACTTATTGAAGAGTGGTTTCGATTAGTATCGAATATGTGGGCCAAATATAGTATTCAGGATCGCGATTTTTACAATTTCGACAAAACCGGTTTTATAATAGGTATAATATGCTCTGGAATAATTGTAATTGATACTGAACAGTATAGCAGAAGCAAAGCAATACAACTAGATAATCGAGAATAAACTATAGCGATTATATATAGTAATAGAAAGGATAAAACTATATCTTCATTTTTAGTAGTACAAGGACAATATCACTTTTCTAATTGGTATATTGAAATTGATCTGCTGGCAAATTGGGTTATTAAACCTATTAGCAATGGATGAACGAATAATAAGACAGGTTTAGAATGAATAAAGCATTTCGATAAATATACAATTCATCGAAGAACAAGCAAATATCGAATATTAGTATTGAATAGGTATGAAAACCACGAATCGATATCTTTTCAATTATACTGTATGGAAAATGATATTATATATCTCAAATTACTACTGCATTCAAGTTATTTAACTCAGCCATTGGATATTGGATGCTTTAGTGTATTGAAACAATTATATAGTTCTCAGATTGAAGGATTTATCAAAGCTTATATTAATCATATCTCAAAGATTGAATTCTTTATAACTTTCAAAGCTGCATATCAATAATCGATTACAATTCAGAATATAAAAGCTAACTTTCAAAAACAGGACTAATACCATTTGATCTTCAAGCTGTGCTTTCGAAATTAGATATTCAAATTCATATGCCTAGCCCTTTATTTACTTCCTCAGAACCTATCGATTCTTGGATTTCTCAAACACTTCACAATCCAACTGAAGCTCTTTTATAATCGATTTTAGTCAAATCTCGAATATATCGTTATCAATCAAGCTTTTCTATATCTATATTCGAAATTGTATTAGCTTTAGCTAAAGGCATAGAAAGATTAGTACATAAGAATATACTTTTAAATACAGAAATCTGTATATTTCGAAAAGCAAATAAGATATTAAACAAATATCGATATACAAAAAAGATTTAATTATATCAAGGAGGAGTATTTACTAGATAAAAGGCTATAAATATATTATTTCAACAAAAGATTGATATTCAGATTCTATACAATGAGTATCAAAATGAAGCGAATTCTAATAAGGAAGTATTTTCTAGTAGATACTGTAGTAAATGTGGAAAACCAGGTTATAATTCAAGAACTTGTTTTAGTAATGTAATAGATCCTAGATTATTAGATTCCTAATAGTTTCAATCAATTGATTCAATTGTTGTTGAATAATATGGTTTTGAAGTTGTAAATTGAGGTAAAAGTGATCCACGTACTGATATGATCCATGTATTGATAAACCACGTTATATCATTTTATGATATAATATCCAAGTTCGAGTAAACAAAAGATACTTGACTT